GGAGATAAAATGGTCAGGGGGTATTTTAGATTGTTTTTGACAGCGTCAACCATATTTGGACGCCACCCAAATTGAGGAATTGAGGATCTTCTTTTTTTTTACAGCAAATATTTTTTTTTTTTGCAAAAAAGTTCTTTTATACTGCAAATTTCTTTATGGCACAGGGGTACTGCCGCCAAAATTATTTTCCTAGAAAACCCCCTGACAGTAAACTCGGCTTTTTTAATGACACTGCTAAAAAAATTTATTAAAGTCTTTAGAGGTTAATTTCTCATATATTGTACAAGAATGTATAAACCTAAGAATATAGGATTGAGCATTAAACAATACTTTCATTAATTTCTTGTAGTGGTAAATTTAGGTTTCTTCCAAAAAAAGTTTGTTCTGGTGGAAACTATGGCAATATAAATGAGTTAAATCAACTTTCTACAAAACTTTCCTGAAAAAGCCTTTTCTGACCCTATTTCACATGTAAGCATTTTAATTGTAAGCACTATTATGTCAGCTAACTAAATTAACTAAATGTTTATATTATATACACTATGTTAGCACTATTTTATTTTACAATATTACCACTAGAAAGATTACCATCTTAGATTTACAAGCTTATGTTACCTTTAACCATAAATTTTATACCAAGGTTTTATATAACATATTTCTTTTTCCTAAACAAGTTACTTTCCCCATTGGTAACAATACGCCATTATTAAAGAGCCTCACCATAATATAGGATAAGTGTAGATCAATATAGATTAAACATCATAATAAAAACATGTTAAAATATTATACAACAGGTTAAAAATATAAGGACATATATTTAGTGTAAATTAATAAAAACATCTAAGCTTTAATATTTTTTTAATTTGATTAATTATTAAAAAAACAAAAAAATAACAACCTGGAATTGTAACTTTAGCAAAATCTTTTTTTTTTTCAAATGAAAAAGTAAACTTGATTTTTTCATTTTTAATAAATAAATTTTGTACTTTAATATACAACATGCCATTAATTTCTTGAACTTTCCAATCGAGTTTCTTATAACTGCTAGATGAACTATTATCTTGCTTGTGGCATAAGTCGTAATCAATATTTTTACAATTACCATATTCTTTAAGATCAAATACAAATACACAACCACGAGGAAGTCTTCTTTCAACCATCCTATTAAAACATAAACACATGCACTTTATAAAATATAGAAAAACACTATGTTTACTGTTGTTCAACAAAAATGTGCATTTAAAAATGTAATAAATATTTTTACTTTTTCCAAAATAAAAAGCATTTTTAGTTTGAAATTTTTTTTAAGTTTTTAACATCTGAGTTAAAATGTTTTATCTGAGTTAAAGCTCACCAGCTACTGAGAGCCCAATGCTGTAGCAGAAGTGAGACCCTTTTCAAGCACAAAAGCCCCCTCCAAACCATTAGACAGTGACAATTTCTTATCAAGATAAGAATAAATGGTAGTATCATCAGGGAACAATGCCACCTTAGATGAGAGAATTTCTGGCAGATCCTTATAGTATATTAAAAAAAGTATAGGGCCTTTATCTCTCCTCATCTATTTAATGCACAATAAAACCTATCGGTTATTACTGCTAACAAATCAACAATAGAACAAGAATAGCAAAATCCATATTGATGATCAGAAAATAAGTTATTAGATTCAAGATGGGAGATTAAGTGTTTGTTATTTAAAGACTCAAAAACCTTGCTTATGATAGAAAGAAGATTAATGGGATGGTAGTTAGACGAGTCAAATCGCTCTCCAGAATTTTTGTAAATAGGGAAAACAGCTGTTTTCCTATGGGTTAAACAATTCTTTAACAGTTTCATTAACAATGGTAAGTTGAACATTCAATCTTTAATTAATGGGACTAATCTTATTACTTCTTCCAAGGATATTAAACCAAGGATAAGGCTATTAAAGCTATTAAAATAGCTATTTGCAAATAATTTTTTAATTTGGCTCTTGAATCTGATGGCCATACACTTGATATACATATCACTTCAGTTAAAAAAGTTAACCCATTGTTAAACACCCAAATCACTACAGCCTCCATTGCTAAAGTCATTTATTAATTAAAGTTTTCTGCAGCTTGTGGTCAAGACAACATTCCTGTCTTTTCAGCAAAAGTGTTCTCCAGAGCATTCTTCAAATTGTTTGAGATTTTTGAATCCTTTCTGTTTAATCACTTGATTAAAGTCATCCACGAAAACATGTAACTTCTGGGTACCTCAAAGTTCTAATCTTGGTACTGTTTTTTTAAATCTATATTAATTATTGTTCTGACAATCTTAAATCTAAAGATTTCTATCTGCTGGCGACTCAACTTTATACTACTGTCTTGAGAAAAAGTTTTCTCTCTTCGATCAATTAGAACAGGCAACTGATAATGAATCTGATCTCACTTCTGTAACTTGGAGCTTGCAGTTGCTTGTGGATTTTAACTCCAAAAAAACAGTTATTTACAGCAAACAACTATAACAATATTGTTAATATTTCTATACTGACAAAAAAACAATACTCTCACTTTCAGAAAAGGTTTAAAAGCACAATGTAAGTGTTGTGGCTCAAGCTCAGCAGATATATCTGCTGAGCTTGAACCACACACCAATTGTCTTAAGGTTGCATCTCTTTCTCTTTTCAACAAATACCATGGTTGCTGCTCAAAGGAGCTATTATCTCCAGTAAGGCAAATTCCACTGAGCAAAATTTTTCAAAAACAAAATTGGTATGGGCGTGGAAGATTTAATGTATAAAACTGAGCACATTAAAAAAAAAAAAAAAAAAATTGATTAGGGGAGGCTTAAAAAAGACTATTTTTTAACCCTTTTATTTTCCTTAAAAATTTAATTTTATAAACATGTATAAATAAAGTTCAAATAAATAAATTAAAATTAATATTACAAGAGTTACATTAAACAATTTTTTTTTTAAATGCTTGGAACAAAATAATTGCTTTTGGTTTCTATGGTAACATTTCTATGATTTTCTTTCCTACTCTGATCTTTAGTAAGAAAAAAGTTTTTTTGAGACCAGTCTTAAACCAGTCATAAACCAGTCTTGATGCTTCGGTTACTGACTAAACTGCACAATCAACTGACTGAGAGTTGTTTGGAAGAAATGTAAGCGATAAAATCTCTCCAGATTCTTTTGCTTTCATCAGTTCAACAGATGGAAAATAAATTGTAGTAGGAGGTTCCACTTCAATTTGGCATATTTGAACAAGATCAATCCAGGAGTTACAATCAAAATTAATTTTCATTATTGTTTTGGGTTTAAGCTTAGAAACAAATTTCTAATTTTCCTCATTTATCTTCCTAATAATGAGTATTCGATCTATGGCTTTGTTGCAATTTACAATCATCCATTTTTATGCAATAGAGAAATTTCTCCTGTAAACATCATAATGAACTTCCAGTTCAATTTTTAAAGACAACTTCTTGTATCTTTTTATCTTGCAATTTTTTTTTTTTTTTTTTCTATTTGCATTCACTCCCAACAAGGCTGCAAGCAACCACTATTAAGTTGGGAGTTACTAGGAAAAAAAAGAACAGAGTTATAGAGCAAGGAAACGGTTGACAGAAGACTTGAAAAGTTGAAGGTTGTATGAGTCAGGAAAACATGAAGATGGGAGAGAGTTCCAAAGGATTAAAGTGCGGGGAAAAAAACTAGATGAATAAAAGTTTTTAGAGCATGCAGGGACAGATACAGTAAACGAACGAGACTTAGCTGAATGACGAGTAAAACGAGAATGAATTTTAGTTGATGGAACTAGAGATGATAACTCCTTAAAGCAGTGACAATGATAGTATTTGTAGAAGAGAGAAACAGATGCAACTTTATGACGATGAGAAAGAGATTCAAGCTTAGCAGATAGTCCAGGTCCAACAACATTAACAATGCGTTTTTGGACCTTGCCAAGAAGAGAAAGTGAATCGTTAGAAGAACCAGCCCAAATATGACAACAGTATTCCATACAGAGACGAATAAGAGATTTGTAGAGGTAGAGAATGGAATCAGAAGTAAGGAAATGGAGAGCACGATAAAGAGAAGCAACCTTAGCAGAAGCTAATTTAGCAATTGATTGTATATATGGTTTCCATGAAAGGTCAGTAGTAAGCGATAATCCAAGAAGACGTAAAGAGGAGGACTCAGTAAGAGGATTGCCATTCATTAATATAGAAATGTTGACCATATTACGGTAGTTGTTTGCAGTAAACAACTGGGTTTCGTTAGAGTTGAAATTCACAAGCCACTGTGAACCCCAATCTATTACTGAAGTGAGATCGGATTCAAGATCAGCTGCTTGTTCTAGATGATCGAAAAGAGAAGACTTTTTGTCAAGACAGGAGTATAAAGTTGAGTCATCAGCAAAAAGAGCTACTTTAGATGAAAGGTTGTCAGGAAGATCGTTTATGTAGATAAGAAACAAAACAGGGCCCAGGATGGAACCTTGGGGAACCCCAGAAGTTACTGGAAATAAAGAAGAGTGTTGGCCATCAAAGATGACTTTAATAAACCGGTTAGAAAGAAATGATTTGATAATCTCAAAAACTTTCCCAGAAACACCATATGAAGCAAGCTTATGGAAAAGACCAGCATGCCAAACTTTGTCGAAAGCTTTAGATATGTCGAGAGCAATAGCCCTAGCTTCACCGCCTCCATCTAATGCACAATAAAATCTTTCAGTTACAGCAGTTAGCAATTCGGCCGTAGAGCAAGAGGATCGAAAAATTTAGTCAAGTAAATAATTTTAAATAGAATTTTTGCTGAATCTTTATAATGACCTGATTTTTTTATAGCAAACGTAATAGGAGAATATACTTGGACTATATACTTCGCTATCATAACCAACTCTGCCGATGGATTTATTTCTCTAGTATATTATTTCTCTAGTATATACATAATAGCACAAAACTTTTTGAAAAAGTTTTGTGCTTTTTTTAAAAAACTCAAGTTTTTTCCATATACTTCTCTCGTGGATCAAGGGCAGTTTAGAGTTCACTTTTCTCTGTAACTCAACAATTTTAATGCTTATTTGAGAAACAATTTGTTGATCAGTTATTTTTTGTGAGTTGTTTAATTAAGTTTGTAGCTGAACTGTATAAGTTTTTTAAATGTGGGAAGGATGCTAACAGGAAGATCATTTGGTGATCGTTTGGTAGTCCTGCAAACAAAGAACTTGTGCAGCAAGTTCTACTTTTAAGGGACTTAGCAACTTTTCCCATTTTTTTAATTATATATTTGAAAACAAGATTCAGTTACATATTTTAAAATACAATACTTTATTTCTTATTTAGTTACAGTTAGATCAATGCACATAATACAAATTGTAGAAATTGTGATTATTATTAACATAATTAAAAATAAAATAATTAATAACTAAAAAAAGTAATCTAATATAATTATAATATTACTTTTATAAATTATAAATCTTTTGCTAATTATAATACAATACAGTAAGAAATGTATTACTAAACATAAATACACATTTAAATAAAGATGTTTATTAAATATAAAAACTATAAAAACAACTGATTATAAAATATTGTCATACATGAATATATATATGAATATTGTCTGCAATGAAAATTGTTGACAATATATAACAAAATTAAACTTTTTTTTATTTAAAAAAAAATTACTACCATTATAGCAGTTTGTTTATTACATCATTTGTATAAAAGTTTATTGTTTTACTGTTCCACACAGGGTGCTATAAACATAATTAGTTAAACTTGTAATACTTTTTTATTTTATATAAAAAACATTTAAAATACCTTGTTTTAATCAATTAACCATATTAATTAAAAAATAGTTATACCATCATTCTTAGTTTTTGTTTCAGAATTTTCCACATCTATACCAATTTTAAATGGCAAAAATGGAATCACCCTAACCTCCAGTTCCATCAACCAAAACCTATTTTTGCTTGACACATCATTCAGCAAAGTGTATCCTTTTACTGTATTAGTACCTAAATGCTCGAAAAACTTTTATTGTTTTTTCCTTGCACTTTAATCCTTTGAAACTATGTAAATTGTATGACTGATACAACTTATAAATTTTAAGTCTTCTATCAACCGTTTTCTTGCTCTTTAACTCTATTTTTTGTTTTACAGTAACTTCTAACCTAAGTTGGTATTTGCAGCCTTGTTGGGAATAAGTTTGTTTAAAAAAAAAAGTTTATTTTAAATAAAATCCAAACATAAACTATCAAGAACATACAAAATACTAGTTTCAAAAAAACTTGTTTTTTAAATTAGTTGTTATGAAGTACTTTTTGAATACTGAGTAAAAGCTCTTCATCTTTAGAAATAAATTATTTTTCGTTATTGCATATTGTTTACAAGCCACCATATATATATATATATATATATATATATATATATATATATATATATATATATATATATATATATATATATATATATATATATATATATATATATATATATATATATATATATATATATATATTTATATATATATATATATATATACAAATAGTATTGCGTACTATTGTAAGCAATCTGACGTCATACTGAAATAGCCTGCTGCTGGGGGCTTCAGTGCATACATCGACTGACAAATAGCCTGACTCGCAGTGGAGTGCTGCTACATCGACTGAGAGTTTGGGATGGGAAAGCAATCGTTTTATTCATCATTCTTTGTTTTTTCTTCTTCTTTTTCGAAAAAAACAGTATAGCTTAAGGTTAGCAGAAAAAGTATGTAAAAAATTAATGGTTGTTATTAAAAAGTAAAAGAACGTGAGGAACATTGATTTAGAAGTATAATATGCATCATTATAAAATTCAACAACTCTTAAATTGGCCAAATTTTCAAAATTGTGACAAAATTTCAAATTAGAAATTGAACTCAGCAACATCTAAAACACACTCTGCAATAGCTATACATAGAAAGTTTTACTCAGATGGCACGAATGAGGAAAATGTAAAAACTATTAAAATGGAAGAAAAAAATTTGATGAACAGTTTAATTAAGTAATTTTGCAAAAATTGAGGCAATCATGATTACTTATAAGAAAGATATCACTTTAATACACCACAGTATGACTAAATATTAATGATCAAATAAGTCCTTGGAACCTTTGAACAAAGTAGGCACTAAGATTCACACTAAGAGGAAGTTGAGTATTTGTGAGCTTGAAATTTGTATATTCTTCACAGCCAAACAGCCTACCATGTTGTTTGTTTTTAGAGTAGTAATTTTTAATCTTCTACAGGATTTTCTTGGATTTATGCCATCTGTTGACTCGACGCGCTGAATCATATGTTGATATTTTAATATTTATTTTTCTTATTGGCCAATACAATCAAAGATACTAACCTTTTTTTTTATTACATTGTATAGTGTGGGTCATTTACTTTGTAAAATATTATTAAACAAATTTTTGATGAGATTAGCTTGATTTAAATATATAGTACTTTTTAAATTAAAACCTAAATCAATTTTTGTAATTCAATTCAAACTTTCGAATATTTGCAGAGCTTTATTCACATAACACTCATGCTTGTCAACACATGGGCATGACTATTATGTGATGTAAATAAGGCCCGTTATGGGGATTCGTGGGCAAAACTTAATGACCTTTAAATATTTGAAGTGTTTCACCATGATCAATAAAAAACTGCAGAGAATTTACAAAGAACTGTGTTCAGCTATTTAAAGCTATTTCATTTTATTAAAAGCCTATAAAGAATGAAGAAGAATTATTTATCGAACGAAGCATATTTTGACAGTTGTCAAGACAAAAATAAAGATTAATAGAGGAAAATTTCAAAACAAGTAAGAAAAATTCTAATCAAAACATAAAAATATAAATAAATTCAATTTAAGATCTAAAATTATTATTTATAAAAATATTTTTTATTATTTAAAAAAAAAATTAAGTTTTAAGATTTAAACTTAAGATTAAAACTTAAGTATTAAAAAAAAATTACGAATTATAAAATTTTAAATTAAAATTTTATGTTAAAAAAATGTAACAAATACTGAAAAAATAAAATGTGGGTATATAACTAATTATATTTCTAATTGATATTATCTAAGTACTTACTTATTTCTTTTTGCATCAGAATTCTCTATAATTGAAAAAAATAATTTATGTGTAAATGAAAAAAATAATTATTATTTAACTAAAATAAAAAAAAATTACTATTATTTAATTATAATTAAAAGTTTAGTGACTCATTTGAACCATTTTAAACTTTGATTATAACTTAACTGAAAATAATCACTGTTTAAAAGAGTAAAAACTGGTTTCTATATTTTCATTCAATTATAATTAGATAAAAATTAAAATTAAAATAAATTTAAAAGGGATTTTAAGTAAAAATTTTTTTTTTTTTTTAAAACCATGACAATAGTGATAATTGTAAAAAAAATGTTTTGAAAACTTCATGGGAAAAGGTTTAAAAATTTAGAACAAATAAGCTGTCTGCTCAAATGGTAACCCTTAGTCAAAGTATGTACACCTAATGCATCAATCCCTTTTAAGTCAGTCAATGTCACTGAATATATTTGAAGTAATGCAGTTAATAAGATAAAATCATCAATAAAGTATTACCTTTTAATTATTAACAAAAGGCTATTTATCGCATTGATGTAATAGCACAGACAGCAGTAATAAGTTCATCCTTGAAGGCCAACACTCTTTTTCATTTTCAGTAACTTCTGGGATACTGCAACGTTTTATCCTTGGTCCTGTATTATTTCTTAACAAAATTAATGATCTAAATGACCAGATAATCTAAAGTAACTCTTTTTGCAGACAACGCAACTTTATACTTCTGACTTGACAAAAAATCTCTTTTTGATGCTTTAAACAGGTAGCTAATTTTAAACCCGATCTCTCCTCAGTGACAGCTTGAGGATTGCGATTGCTTATGAATTTTAGTTCCAACAAAACTCAGTTATTCACTGCAAACTACTATAGCAAAACTGTTTACATTCTTTTATTGATGAATGGCAACTTACTTACTAAATCCTCTAGTTCAAGTCTTCTTGGATTATCATTCACTATTTACCTCTCATGAAAACCATGGAAACCATATATTCAATCCATTGCAAAGTTAGCATCTACTAAGATTGCTTCTTTTTATCGTGTTTGCCATTTTTCTACTCCTGATTCCATTTTCTATGTCTACAAATTTCTTTTTCGCCCATGTATGGGACACTGTTTTCATATTCTAAGCTGGTTCTTTCAATGATGTTTTTCTCTTCTAGGTCCAAAAATGCATTGCAAATTTGATTGGACATGCTCATTTTATTACAAAATTTTATTCCTCAATACAAGTCATACTAAAGTGGCACTCCACTTTCTTTTATTAGATAGAACATTTACATCCCCTAAAGCGTTTAACATATTCAATATATTGTACTTCGACAATAGTCAATATACCAGTGGAACTAGCAGCCTCAACTTATTGAGCCCTCTGAATAATTGATTTCACTTTATTACAGGTAATATGTTTTTTGGTTCACAACCCTTATTTGCTGCAAATAAACTTTCATTGTTATAATTAAACTGTTTATTTAGCGATTTTTCAAAATGAGCCATCACCTTGTTTTAGCCTCAACTTTTGCTCTTGTTTTAACTTTTTTTCTCCAAACAATTATAAACTTCATCATTTTGTTGATGGGTTTTGTTTCAAATAAAAAAGTCTGCACTGCTCACAAAGATCTCTTTTTTTTTTTTCACCAAATTTTCCATTAATTTGATGTTAAAAATTACTAATTTTTGCAATGTATACAGCAAAAATTAGTATTAGTTATTCTTAAAAAATAGTTTTTAAAAATTTAAATATTTTTACCTTGTATTGCTCTTTTGTTACTCACAGTTTTTCTATTTTGCTATTTGATTAAGACTATTTTGTTATTTTATTAATTTGGGTCTTAAAGCCACTCAACTACTTTGTAAATCACAAATTACAGACTGTCGATTGCATCATCTAAAAATTCTAAAAACATTTTTTTATCAATATTTCTGAGAATAAATCCTTTTCACTATGTTCTTACTTAAATTTTCTGTTCTTCCACTGACATGCCTATTGATTTCCCCACATATGTATGTATATATATGGTAGTGCCATATGAATATTTTTAATTTAACTTTGCATTTATTTTGCCTATTTATATTTCTCTACAGAAATTGTTTTCTCTCATTCTATCCTTGTGAACTTAAGTCATTTTTTTCTTGTACATTTTTTCTCCCACATCTTATCTGACCCATCGATTCTCTCTTTATATTTGTTTTTGTTAGCCTTACACCTTTAATTTTTTTGTTCTGATTTAATTTGTTTATTTTATTAAGGTGTCACTCCATTGACTAGTTTTTAACGATATTAGTGACACCAAACCTAATTTTTTCAATTACAATTAAATTTGTAATTTATAATTTTATGATTGAATAAATGGATAAAATACATAATATACTCATTCTTTTTCTAAAAATTACATAATATACTTTATCATGCACACCATTTTATCTCTCCTGATTCCATTCTCTACCTCTACAAATCTCTTATTCATTCCTATATAGAATACTGTACCTAGACAAGGTCCTAAAATACATTGTAAATGTAGTTGTATCCACTCTATCTGCTAAGCCTAAACCTTTTCCCGATTGTAGTAAAGTTGCATCTTTTTCTCTTTTTTGTAAATACTATCATGCTCAAAGGAGCTATCATTTCTAGTTCCATCAACTAAAATTTATTCTTGCTTGACTCGTCATTTAGCAAAGTCTCATTCTTTAACTGTATCTGTCCTTGCATGATTGAAAAACTTTTATTTGTCTAGTTTGTTTCCAGCACTTCAACCCTTAGGAATTCTCTCCCATCTTCATGCTTTCCTGACTCCTACAACCTTCAATATTTTAAGTCTTTTTTTTTTAGTTTTTAGTCAACCATTTCCTTGTTCCTTAACCATTTTCTTTTTTTTTCTTTAGTAACTCCTACTTAATAGGGGTTGCTTGCAGCCTTGTTGGGAATGAATCAAAAAGCAAAAACAACAACAAAAAAAACAACAACAACAACAAAAAAACAAAAAACGATACAAACAAATTTAAATTTGGTGAATCTATATCTAAGTCATGATATAAAATTTGAAAGGTTAACACAAATCTAAAATTGTTAACATGTTGTAATCAAGTTGGTTTATTTTTAAATGTTGGTTATTTTTTAATTCCTTTTGTGAGTTATAATGGAAACTTTCACTTTTTTAATAGTTTTATTAAAACTGGTTTAAATATTATTCTGAAAAACTGGATCTGTTCCTTAACTTTTAGATAGAAAACCTTTTTAAAATTTAAACAATGTCAATGCAGTCATAAAGATTCAGCTGCTTGTTACATTTGTATATACTGTAATATGAACTAAAGCAGGATGTAATTATTTGTTTAGTCTGCCAATATTGGGCTAAAGACAAATGCCATTTGAAAATAAGTACAGTTAAGAGTGTAATGAAAGTATTACTAATTGCATGTAAGATCATTGGCCTTTCATGCAATTAATTTTATGAAGAAATTAAAGAAAATAAAAGTTACAAAAAGCGTGAAAAATTCTGAAAAGCATCTTTAAAACAGTTCTATATAATAAATATTGTATTAATAGATTATATTGGCTTTACAAGGTTTTACTTCCATTTGCTGACAATTTTTATATATTTACATAACAGGTAGTATTTATTTTATTTTTTATCATAAAAATTTGTTTCTTTTTGTAGCTTGTCATTGGGTTTAGGAATTTTAAACAAAAATCAAGAGTTTATTGCTGCAGTTATAAAGAAACGACTAAATAATTTTAAAAACTTTCCCAGATACAAAAAATAAAGCAAGCTTTTGGTATACCTAGAGTAATAACCATTGCCTTATTTCTTCCGTCTAATGCATAATAGAACCTTTCTCTCATAGTTATTAATTCAGTTGTAGAACAAGATTGAAATCTGTATTGATCATCAGAAAATATGTTGTTAGACTCAAGATGAGATGCTAGAAGTTTGTTAATTGAAGAATCATAGATCTTGTAAATAATAGAAAAAGAAAATGATTAGGTGATAGCTAGAAGGGTCAGAGCATTCCCCAGAGTTTTCAAAAGTTGGAATTACAGATGCCATTATTAAGCAGGCAGGATAACAAGATTAAGTTTGACTTGTTAAATAGAATATAGAGCAATAAATAGTGTACAGAAAAACACTTTTATAAAACTATAAATCAATAATTGTCAATGTTGTCTGAACAAAAAGCTGCAGGGAAATAATTTTAACAACAGAAGCCGGAAAATAAAACACAAACATACACAAAGTATCTTATCTCTGAACTAATAACATCCCAGATGTTTACACAGAACATAAACATACATATAAAAGCTTGCAAGTAAGTAAATACTACTCAAAAGGTTCACGTAGAAAACAAATATGCCTATATAGTAACTTTTAGGAGAGCTACCATGTTGCTAAAGGTTAAAAAGAACATAAACATTAGCTTATGGAAAACAAATATTAGCTTATGGAAAAATAAACTAAACAAGCTTGAGGTTACATTTAATACTATAATTACAATATACACAATTCATTGCAAATTCATCATCTGCTAAAGTTACTAATTTTGTATTAACCCAAATAAGTAGAATGTTAGATTCTACAGGTATTACTATGGTTGCTGCTTGAGCAAGCTATCATCATTTGTTTTGTCAACCAAAAACAGTCATTTGACTGAATGCTGTTTATTTTAAAATAATTAACTTAATAATTTTCATCAGGTCAGGTTATCACCAGACTTATTAGTTTTTTGTGAGACGAACTTGAGTTCAGATATCTCATCTTGTGATCATAGTTTTGGTAGTTATTTTCCTTTTAGAATGCAAAGACTCCAATAATGACATGTTAGGTCTAGTCATTCATAAGAGGTCATCCATTTTGTGAAACTAGGTTTCAATTCACAGACTATTCTTTTTGAAGAATAGTCTGTGAATTGAAAGCTTTGTTTAGCAACACAGTATCACCTTTCTATATACCCTATCATTGTAAATCTTACAACTTGTTGTTGTTGGTGATTTTAATGCCCATCACACTGAATGGCTTGGCTCTAACACCACTGATCCTGCTGGCACTAAAGCCTTTAACTTCTGCGTTTCTCAATCTCTTACTCAGATAGTTAACTTTGTGACTCGTTTTCCTGACAACCCTAATCATTTACCTTCACTCCTTGACTTATGTCTTGTCTCTGACCCTAGCTTATGTTCAGTTTCTCCCTTTTCTCCCTTAGGTGGTTCTGACCATGCAATGATCTCTATAAATCTTTCTTCTCGTACTTCTTTTTTGGGCTCACCTTATCATCGCACCACCTACTACTACCCTAAAGCTGACTGGGATTCCTTTCGTGATTTTCATCGTGATGGTCCTTGGGCTGATGTTTTTTCTCTCTTAGCTGACAAATGTGCCTCCTACGTAACCTCCTGGATTCAGGCTGGAATGGAAGCTTTTATTCCTTCTCGTCGGTTTCAAGTCAAGTCTCATTCTACTCCATGGTTTTCTCCTTCTTGTGCGGCTGCTATATCCAATCGTAACCATTTTTTTCATCTTTTTCAAAAGAACAACTCTCTTGAGAACAAACGGCTATTTATTATTGCAAGAAATCGATGTAAAAAGGTGCTTTCTGATGCTAAACTCCATTATTCTCAGTTCACTAAATCTCGCATCTTATCGCAGAAGTTAGGCTCTAAAGACTTTTGGAAAATCTTCAACAGCATTGTTAACAAGGATAGATCTAACATTCCATCTCTCATTCATGGGACTGATCTTATTACCTCTCCCAAGGATAAGGCAAAACTATTTGCAAAGAACTTTTCTTCTATTTCCACTCTTGAATCTTATGGACATTCTGTTCCTTCCATTCCAGTCAAACAGGTTGACCCATTGTTAGACATTCAAATCACTTCGGCTTCTGTTGCTAAAGTCATATCTCAATTAAACTCGTCTACAGCTTGTGGTCCAGACAACATTCCTGTCACAGTCTGGCAGAATTGTTCTCCAGAACTTTCTTCAATTCTCTCTAAACTATTTAACAAGTGTTTGACTGAGTCTTGTTTTCCTGCTTGTTGGAAAATGGCATCTGTGGTTCAAATATTCAAAAACTCTGGAGAAAATTCTGACCCCTCCAATTATCGTCCGATCAGTCTTCTTTCTGTTATTAGCAAGGTCTTTGAGTCTTTAATCAACAAATTCCTCACATCTCATCTTGAGTCAAATAAACTGCTGTCAGACAATCAATACGGTTTTCGATCCTCTCGCTCTACGGCCGACTTGTTAACTGCTGTAACTGAAAGATTTTATCGTGCATTAGATGGAGGCGGTGAGGCTAGGGCTATTGCTCTCGACATATCTAAAGCTTTCGACAAAGTTTGGCATGCTGGTCTTCTCCATAAGCTTGCTTCATATGGTGTTTCTGGGAAAGTTTTTGAGATTATCAAATCATTTCTTTCTGACCGGTTTATTAAAGTCATCCTTGAAGGCCAACACTCTTCTTTATTTCCAGTAACTTCTGGGGTTCCCCAAGGTTCCATCCTGGGCCCTGTTTTGTTTCTTATCTACATAAACGATCTTCCTGACAACCTTTCATCTAAAGTAGCTCTTTTTGCTGATGACTCAACTTTATACTCTTGTCTTGACAAAAAGTCTTCTCTTTTTGATCGCCTCGAACAAGCAGCTGATCTTGAATCTGATCTCACTTCAGTAATAGATTGGGGTTCAAAGTGGCTTGTGAATTTCAACTCTAACAAAACCCAATTGCTTACTGCAAACAACTACCGTAATATGGTCAACATTCCTATATTAATGAATGGCAATCCTCTTACTGAGTCGTCCTCTTTACGTCTTCTTGGATTATTGCTTACTACTGACCTTTCATGGAAACCATATATACAATCGATTGCTAAATTAGCTTCTGCTAAGGTTGCTTCTCTTTATCGTGCTCGCCATTTCCTTACTTCTGATTCCATTCTCTACCTCTACAAATCTCTTATTCGTCCCTGTATGGAATACTGTTGTCATATTTGGGCTGGTTCTTCTAACGATTCACTCTCTCTTCTTGACAAGGTCCAAAAACGCATTGTAAATGTTGTTGGACCTGGACTATCTGCTAAGCTTGAACCTCTTTCCCATCGTCGTAAAGTTGCATCTCTTTCTCTTTTCTACAGATACTATCATGGTCACTGCTCAAAGGAGTTATCATCTCTAGTTCCATCAACTAAAATTCATTCTCGTTTTACTCGTCATTCAGCTAAGTCTCATTCGTTTTCTGTATCTGTCCCTGCATGCTCTAAAAACTTTTATTTATCTAGTTTTTTTCCCTGCACTTCAATTCTTTGGAACTCTCTCCCATCTTCATGTTTTCCTGACTCATACAACCTTCAACTTTTTAAGTCTTCTGTCAACCGTTTCCTTGCTCTATAACTCTGTTCTTTTTTTTTTCCTAGTAACTCCCAACTTAATAGTGGTTGCTTGCAGCCTTGTTGGGAGTGAATGCAAATAAAAAAAAAAAAAAAAAAACTACCTTAAACCTGACTGGGACTCTTTCTGTGATTTTTTTTTGTGATGACCCTTGGATAAAAAAATCTTTTCTCTTCTTGCTGACAATTGTGCTTCTTAAATAACTCCATGGATTCAGGCTGGTGCGAGACCTTTCAATACTAGTCAATGATTTTTAGTCAAGCCTCACTTTTCTCCATGGTTTTACTCTCATTGTACTGCTGCAATTTCTAGTCATAACCATTACTTTAATATCTATGACCAAAATAATTCTCCAGAAAATAGAGGCCAGTTTACTATTGCTAGAAACCATTTTAAAAAAGGTTTTGAATGAAGCTAAAACCTGCTATTCTCAGGACAAAAAATCTTGTATTTCATCTAAAAATTTAGGCTCCAGAGATTTCTAGAGAATCTTTTATATTATCTATAATAATCTCTCTTGCATGGTTCAGATTTTGTTACCTCATCTAAAGACAAAGCTGAATTATTTGCTAAGAACTTTTTATTAATCTCATTTCTTGGTTTCACTAATTACATCCTACCTGATATTGCTGCCAAACAGGTTGATTTATTGCTTGACATTCGTATTACTCCAGCCTCTGGATTAAAAGTGATTTCCTGCTATGACACTTCTACAGCTTGTTTTTCGGAAAACATACATGTTATATTCTTGCAGAAGTGTTCTCCAGACCTGTCTTTTATGCTTATCAATCATATTTCCCAGTCTGTTAGAAAGCAGCATCCATAACCTTAAAGTCAAATATTCAAAAGAGCAATCTATCATAAGCAAAGTATTTGAGTCTTTAAGTAACAGACACTTGATCTCTCAACTTAAATCTAATAACTTATTTTCTAATATGGATTTTGATATTCTTGTTCTACTGCTGATTTGTTAATGGTAATAACTGGTTTTATGGTACTGAACATTTCTAAAGCCTTTGATAAAGTTCTCCATAAGCTCTTTTTGTACAGTGTATTAGGCACCATCTTAAGGATTATCGAATACTTCAGTACCAATCATATTATAAAAGCTGTCTTTGATGGAAAGCACTCTTTTTCATATCCTGTATCTTCAAAGGTTCTTCAAGGTTTTATCCTTAACCCTATGCTTTTTTATAATTTAAATAGTGATCTTCCTAAAATTCACACATCAAAGGTGGTATTGTTCGCTCCTGATACTGCAATTTATTATATTCTTGATAAGAAGACAAAACTCCCTGATTGCTTGGAAGGGACTCTTTATTTTGAGCTTGAAAAGGATCTTACTTCTGTTATAGCATAAGGCTTTCAGCCATTAGTCAACTTTAACTCAGATAAAAGTCAATTTCTTTCAGCAATCATTATTACAACAACCTAGATCTTCCTTTATTTATGAACGGTAATATACTCCATAAGTCATCTACCCTTCCTCCTCTAGGATTAACTTTTATAATCTTTCTTAGAAACTATATATCAAATCCATAGCAAAAGTAGCATTTTCAGTACCTTTTTTATCGTGCTTGCCACTTTTGTACTCAGGATTCTAATCTTTATAAATCTCTAATCCGCTAATGTACGGAATAATGATGCAGTATCTGGGGGGTAGGGGAAGGATCTTCCAGTGATGTCCTTTTCTATTTTAGCCAAGGTGCAAAAACGCATTGCAAATATAGTTAGACTTGTTCTCACAACCATTCTCCAGCCATTATCAAATAGTTGTAATATTGCTTCTCTTTCTCTTTTCTATAAATACTATAATGGGAACTACTCTAAAGAGCTAGTGTCTCTTGTGCCATCTATTAAAATTTATTCTTGTGATACTCGTCATTGAATCAAGTATATTTGTCTTTTTTTCTCCTCCAGTAACCTTCAACTCTAATAATGGTTGCTTGCAACCTTGTTAGAAGATACTAATTGATAATAACAATAATAATAATACTAAATTTTTATTCTTACTAGCTCAAAAAACTTTTATTCATTAGGGTTTTACTCTCAAAATCAGTGTCATGCATTCTATCCTAATTTCTTGTTTTCATGACTCGTGAAAATATGAAGCCAATGCTTTCTACTAAATTCTAACTTAAAAAATGCAGTTGTGCAAGTATTGTAGCTGTATTGATAGAGCGCTTTCTTCCCAAGAGGAAAACTTTGAGTCCAATTGTCCAAAACTAAAAGTCCCACCATGACTGTGGTTGCAATGAGCTCAACTTGTTTCTGCACACAGCTAGTTTATCAAACTTTTTATTCAAAGTTCATGTTGTGGGGTTTAAGGGTTGAGAGAGGATTGTAAAAAAAAAAGTGACTTGACTGTTGTTTTACAACGAATCAATAAACACAATAGTAATTACTGCATATTTAATTTTTATTTCAATAATTCATAAATAAAAAATATTATTTTAAAATTGAAATTATTACATTCAAAAAATTTTAAAATTAAAACAAATATATATTTAGAGGATGTTAACTGATTATTTATAAAATCAATTTAAACATAACTATTATTCATAACTATTATTAAACTTACCAGAAAAAGAATTAGCCAGGTCATGTCTACCAATACTGATAAGAAGTTTTACAAATTTATTATAGTTATCTTTTGAAAGAATATTACGATGATCTAAAGTATTCATTAATTCAATAGAAGTTTTAATCTTTTCAAGAACACCATCACCAATTTTGTTTCGATAATAATACTTAATTTTCTCAACATCTTTATCTAATAAATTTTCCATAACATTAAGCATTATCTTATTAAATTTTTTATCATCCATTTCTCTAAAATATAAAACTTTGTACAATATTTTAATAATTTTTTAAGGTATTCAAAAGATGATTTATATACACGATATACAAGATACAAAAATACTATGATGTGTATTTATAAATATTTAAGTGATTTTTTTTCCTGCTGCATATTATACAGCATCTTTTTTTCTAAACTTTAACAATGATTAAAAGCTAATTCAATAAAATAATTATGATTATTTTATGTTATATTTTAAAGCATCATGGGACCTAAAAAAAATAGCCTATTTTTAGTATAACTAAAAGTTTTTTTTAAAAATTTATTTAAACATTGATTGTAGAAACGGACATATATTAAATATATTCATATCCAACAATGAATCATATAAAACAACTGTTGAACTAGTTTTAACTTCAAAATATGTAAAAGTCAGATTTTGCAACTAGTAAATAGTGATAATAGTATTAATTCTATGCACAAACTAGTAAATGGTGATAAATAGTCCCAATTATATGCACAAATTTTTTGATAATAAAGAGATAATTTTGATAATTAAGCGATAATAATCCTAATTCTATGTACAAACTAGTAAATAGTGATAAATAGTCCTAATTCTATGCACAAAATTTTTCAAGGGATTTTAAACAATTTATTATTAACTGCAACATGCTCTTTGCATACCAAAAAACAATATATGCTGTCACAATAATTGCATTTAATCACAAGCTCAAGTAAGATTGTTTTGTGTTCTTCTTTTTTGTCTACTCAACACATCAGTGTTTTCTTTATATATAATTAACTTAAATTAATCAGTATACCTTAAAATTTGTTTTTTTGATTGTTGTTTTTATCACATATATCACATCTTTTCTTTATCAGGCAACAAATTAAAGGATATTTGCTTCCATTAATGTTTTTGTTATAATGGTATAATGTGTTATAAATCAGAAGTTGCTGTTTTGATTTTTTTTTAACCTTAAACAAAAAACCCTTTTTCTCCTAATTTATAATAGGTTTTATAGTAATTGTTTTAAATATCTGTTGTATTTTATCAACCATTGCAAGGTTTTAACTCACAGCATGAAAACTGAAAAATAGACTATTGCTTCTACGGATCTTTAACAAGTCAAGAACGAAGTTAGTTCAGTAATATTAGTTAGACATTTTTGTTAAAAACATTATTAGGCCTATGGAAAAAAATTAATTTAGTTAAAAATAAATATTTTATTTAATGGGGCGTATTATTTGGTCATATCCCATTCGGAACGATTATTTATTATTTGCGTATTTTTAATAGCAAGTTAGATAAAAGATTAAAAAGCAAGCTAGATAAAAACGATAGTAAATATATCGTCGGGGATAGTGCAAATCCGCGTAGCTAGCATTGATATTGATATAGCATTGATATTGATAGCTAGCATTGATATTGATATTGATAGCTATATTTGGATATTATTAATTTTAACACCAAATATGTATTTTTGAGATTACAAAAAACATGAATAATACTCTTTATACTAAAATGAACCCAAAATCAGTAATAATAAAAAAACATATAAGGTTTTAAACTTCTCCAGTAAATAAAATGTACTGTAGATACGAGGTATTATCTAATGCTAGTTACGCGGTTTTGCACTATCCCCAGGGCCGGCGGGAGTAGGTAACACGTGGGGGGGGGGATGCCATTACAACTTTTGCCGACCAAAAAAAAAAAAACTAATAAAGACCTCGTTTTTGAAAATTTGCCGACTGCCATGACGACATTTGCCGACTGACTGTCTAAATTTACCAACTAACCGATTGAGAGGGTCTACAATTGCCGACTAACTAGTCAAAAAGGGTCAAATTTGACAACTAAGGGTCAAGTTTGACGACTAAAAATCATTGATGAAGCTCTTGAGATACAATTTATGACAAGTTTGGAAATTTTTGTTAATAATTTAACAAGTTTTAGCACAAATATTACAAGGCGTAAAAACACGAAATCATGGCCAGAGATCCAAAACATGGCCAATAAGCCGCCGGTTCTTCAAAGAACCATTAGAGAATATTAAGAACCCGAAGGTTCTTTAAAGAACTTTAAAATTTCTCCAAGAACCTTTAGGTTCTTCAAAGAACTGGCAAAGAACCGCAAAGAACCCTTTAGATTTAGTGTAGGTCAGAAATAAACTTTATTTATTAGAGCTTACCATCTTTTGAAATTTCATTCAAGAAACATTTTTTAAACGGAGTAACAAATAAAGCGTCCAACTCAGGTGGATTATCGACTCAGGTGGTAGCGTATTTCGGAGAATATAATCGGATACAGTGGCAGACTGGGCCGGCGCGACACCAGGGCATTTCCCGGTGGAATGAATTAGAGGCCGCGAGGCCGGCGATATGTTAACTATTAAATTATTTCTTCTAAATAAAAAAAATAAATTAATTAAAAGAGTTTAATAAATAAACGTTTATATATGAGAAATATTTTATAACTTAAATTAATAAAAGCTTTTCCTAATTATTAGCAGTAATGACTTTACATCTATTCTTTATAAAAACATAAACGTTCTAATTTAAATAGAATGAGGTAAGTTAATATTAAATAATCGAGCTTTTCAACAAAAGATTGTTTCATTATTAAAAGTAATTATCAAAAATTTATATTGAAAAAATTTATTTTTGGTGACAAAAACGTTGTTTGATATTAAAAAAGTTATCAATAAATAAAACTATTTAAATAGATCTTACTCTCGTTTTTTTCATCCAACTGGAAGTGTTCATTTTATTTTAATTATATAATACTATTATTATTATTATTATTATTATTATTATTATTATTATTATTATTATTTTATAAACTATATATATGTAAGATGATTTATTGGTCTTTTCATACATTTTTGATAAATCTTATTTTCTTAAAGTGTATACTATCAATACAAACTTTAAGAATAAATACCGATTAGGCGTTAATGGGTTAAACAAATACTTATTGTATTATATTGTTAAATTATTTACGTTTATTATTTAGAAAAAATGGAAAAAAGAAAATTTAAAGGAGGCACTCAAAAAGAGAGAGAAAAGCGACAAAAAATCATGCAAGAAGCTGCTAAAAATACTCTTAAATTAAGTGATTTAATTAATGTTTGTTTCAACTTCTAAGATCAATTCATTTGATATTGAAAGTTTGAATAAGGATTTGGATTTAAGTTCATCAGTTTCGTGGAATGATGACACTATTATGTGTCCCATTGGCGCAGATAAAGTTGAAACATCAATTCATGAAGAAATAACTTCAGTTTCAACTTCCACCCAGGCCAATAATGAAATGATAACACCAACAAACAAAGTGTTTAATTTCTTATCAGATAATTATTTCATAAGGCCAGGAAATCATAATTATGAAGACCATTGATGACATTACTAATTTACCTTTTAAACCAAATTTAATATTTTATAGAGAAGATAAAGTAAATAGGCGTTGGCTATCATATAGTTTGGAAAAAAAAAAACTCTGTTTTGTACCATATGTTTGGCTTACAGTGATATTACAAACGAGAGTTCGTTTGTAAATCGTGGAATGACGGACTGGAGGCATACTTTGCAACGTGTTAAAGAACATGAAAATAGTAAAACTCATGAAAATTGTGTAAATTGTCATATGCTCAAATCTAAAGGCAAAGATATTTATAATTTAATGTTCACAAATGAAGGAAGCATACGTCAGAAAAATATTATTGAACGAAAACAAGAATTGGAAAGAATTATAGATGTTGTAAAATTAATTGGAAAAAGAGGATTAGCTTTTTGCGCTCACCAATCTGAATCTGTTTCTTCACTTTCAATTGCAAATAATCAAAAAGACCATGGTAATTTTTTAGAAATAAAATTTCTACTCTCTAAATATAACGCTGTTTTAAAATTACATTTATCAAGAGTCATCAAAGAAAAAAAGAAAAATAATGAAACATCTGCGGTAACTAAAGGTAGAGGCAGTTTCATTTTATTAATTTCAAAATCTACTATTAACCAGGTAATTTTGGCCAGTGGAAAATTAATTCAAGATAGCATTTTGTTAGATATACAGGAAGCAGGTATTTTTTCTTTGCAAATTGACACCACACAGGAAATAACACAAAAGGATCAGTGCTCAATTGTTGTCCAATATGTAAAGGGAAATATTTATGAACGTGTAGTAGCTGTTTTAAATTGCAAATCGTCTACAGGGAAAGACATGTGAAATTTAATTAGTACTTTTATTAAAAACAGTGGATGAAATATTTAAAATTGTATCTGTAATTCGACAGACGGAGCAGCAAACATGCGTGGACAGTATAATGGCTTCACCAGTTGGTTAAGTAAAGAATCGTCTGGTCAAATTCACGTTTGGTTTATGCCCACGTATTGAATTTAGTTGTCACAGATGCTATTAGTTCGGTAATTGAAGGTACTTCTCTCTTTCAATTACTCAATTCGTGTGCCGTATTTCTAAGAGAATCTTATCAACGTATAGAGGTTTGGGAAAACACCAGTGTAAAAATAAGGTATGAAGACTTAAAGTTATAGGTGAAGCAAGATGGTCAACAAAAAAAACAGCTTTAAAAAAATTTTTTGGGCATTATGATAACAAAGAAACCTCATTACATGTATACTTATTGATAACTTTGAATTATTTTGTGCCTAATATTTCAATGCTCAATTTCAATGCTCAAATTAGACACACTGCATCAACACTAATGGAGTCTTTATTGAAATTTAAAGTTATACTTACAGCGCATATTTATTTAAAATTTTTTAAATATATTGGAACATTATCTAAATATTTACAAATCAGGAATTTAAATTGTTTAACAGCTTATAACATGGTAACTTCCACATTTAATTCTTTAAAAGAATTTTCACGTGATTTTAGTAATGTAAAAGAAAAGTCAAATTCATTTGCTAAACGTGCGAATACAAGTCAGCAAAGCTGCTTTGAAGTAAGTAAGCCATTAGCAACACAGTGTTCAATTTACTCCCATTCTTGAAAATAGGTTTTACATTTGATTTTATCCACAAGTCGGTAACTACACCAGTTGCAAGCAATCACTTCTAGATAAGCGATAAGTATTTAAAAATGAGCATTTATCATCGATATTGGTGGTGATGTTGCTATTAGCTGTTTCTAGCAATGTAATAGTGTTCCTGACGCTCTGTTTAGTTCATGCATATGCATGGAAGCGTTTAAGGTTGCTTTTGAACTTCCTGGCGAGTTTCTTTTTGTAGTTGTGCCTAGCAGATTTTACAATTTTAGTAACGTTTTTGCATGCGGTACGATATAATTATTTGAGTAATAATTGAGTATTGCGACCTGCATTAATATACTTGGCCCAAGATTCAGGTTTAGTCTTGACCGTCTTAATAAGATCTGGTGTTACCCATAGCTCCAGTTTATCAGTGAAGGGAGTAGTTGTTGATGGGATGAGTAGTTTGATGGCTTTATTATACACGTTTACTAGCTGGTAGTTATCGTTTGCATTTAGACCAGTGAATTCTGTTTCCCAATCAACAGCTGCAATGTGCAAAGATATTGCTACGTAGTTCGTTTAGCTCTAAATAAGATAAAGCTGTAGCGGCAAAGAAGACGAGTTGTCAAGGCCCGCAACAACAAGTTGATCTTTAATGAAGCAGTGTGCCTTTCACATTGTCTCTATTAAATAAGGTGACTCTCTCGCCAAGAGAGTCACCTTGTTTAATAAAGATATCACGGCCTGGTTCATCTGTGATGATACAGTTTCTTAGTGAGGGGAGTAGTTGCTGAAGAGATAAGTAGCTTGATGGTTTTATTATACACGTTTACTAGGAGCTGGTAGTTACCGTTTGCATTCAGACCAGTGAATTCTGTTTCCCTATCAACAGCTGCAATGTGCGTCCGTTTTGTCCGTAAGCAAAAATACAAATGATGGCGTGGCTGATGATTTTATTTCTATCAATTCATTTATATTTTCGACCAAAAATTAAATTTTGTCTTTTGGAACTTTTTCTCTTACTTCATTAGATCGTTTCATATCCGCCAGTGCAACAAGTACAGCTGCCTTGATCATTGTAGCAATATTGTTTGATAACTTCTCATGAGAGAAGCGTTTAAATGAGTAGCCGCAGTATTTTTGTTGTTTGGTTGCTTACCTTATTTGTTTAGGAACCAGGTTTTTAGGTTTATAATAAACGGAAGACAAAGTTATAATTTTTTTAAACTATAAACAGTAACAAATTTTAGTATATATATTATATGGATGATGTGATTTGTAAAGATATTGTTTTTATAAATTGTTTTGTTTCTTTAGACACCAAATTTGAATAGCAACAATGAAATTTCCTTTGTTATAATAGTTATTGTAAATATATAAGTTTAGGCCTTAGAATACATATTAAAATCATTTATTCATTGGTATCAACCATGAACATTTGTTTCTATGCTAATAGGATTTTTTTAATTAGTTTATAAACAGTATAAAGAGTTAGTTTTGTTAATACAAAATGCAAGCACCACAATATAAAATCAATACAAATCTAAGTTAGCAAAATTAGATACCTAAAGATAGGAGAGAGAGGGGTGGGGGGGCAAAATTTTATATTTCATGTTTAACCAGTTATTCTTAATTAATTTTTTGAGAAAAGTTCAAAAAACGATTCAGTTTTTGCTAATTTTTTATGGTTGACCTTCTACTTCCATTTTAAAAATTTAAAGATATAAAAAATTAAAGTCTTAACAAATGTTTCTTTGCGTATAAAGTTACGCAACTTTTCTTTTAAATTTAAGCTATTCAAATTTTGATTGGATAAATTTAATTTTTAATCGTTGCGTTTTAGAAAAAAAAAGTTCCATCTGAAGTCTCTTTCTAAACAAAACGTTTTAAGTAATCAAAAAGACAGATTGCTTCAAAATATCTTTATTTTATTTTTTTATTTATTTTTAATCGTTATTCAAGCTATCGAGAAGGCTATTCAAGATTTCATTTTTTTTTTCTTCACTTTTCTTTAATGAAGTCAAGAATAAATCTTTTTTTAAAGTGCAAGTCAGTAGCAGTTCAGTTAAATTCTAAAGGTTTAACAACTCTAAAAATAAACAGGCTAAAGGAATACCGCTACCTAAAAGGCTTTATAAAAAACAAACTGGGTGATCAAATTCTTAAAATTTTCTGCTTTACTCTAAAACTTTATTGAAGTAGATAAATATATGTTGAAATGAAAAAAAAGTTCGAAAAATGAGGTTTTTTATTTTAGGGATACAATGTAGGTCTTTGTCGTGGAGGTCTCTTCTGTTTAAATACATGATTGTTGATATAAAAATGCAAACTTCCATCATATGTCTACCAAAGAACACACTCATAACCTAGATGTTCTACATGGAAAGTTCCCGCAGCAATCTCTATCACATATGATGACTTTTATAGTTATTTTCCATTTTTTAATAGTAAATAACAAACTGTATGAATTATTTTTATATATAATGCTTAATTTTTTTTTTACTTATAAACCATAAGGTATATGATTGATAAATTAAACAGAAAAAGATTTCTATTTTTCTACTTGAAAAGTAGAAATCTTTGTCAATATATTCACTTTTATTTTTTAGAATATATTTGTCAATATATTCACTTTTATTTTTTAGAATATATTTGTCAATATATTCACTTTTATTAAAATCGAAGTAGAAGGCTAAATAATCAAAATGAAAAAAAAAATGATTATGATTTTCAGAATCAGCATCAAAAACTAATGAAGAAAAATTTGTTAAGCTATAAAATATCTAAAAAAAGATGATTATGGACCCCCTACTACCGATCAACAACTAATGGATCAGAGGATATGCAGACTTTTTTGTGTCGCGATTGTAAGTACTACATTTCATACTGAATACTAAAAGATCAGTAGAACACATCAGCCGCACCAACAAATCTTCATTTGTTGCTGTTTGAAATTTTTTATGTGAAACTTTCTCGAAACTTTTAAAAATCTTTGTTTTGCGACTCCTGGCTCTCCTCAGATAGCATTCCATTTGGCAGAGCCATTTGTCTGACAAAATTATGTCCGTGGATAAGTATTCGATGAATACTTTGTGTCATGTTGTACCGTCGTTGTATTGTCTAGTAAGTCAATTATCAAGCAGCTTTTCTGCCTGTAGTTTATTAGGATCAATATTTATAATCCAGATGAAATTGACTTCATTACTCAGTCTTGCCTGAATTACATTTTTCTATTCAGCTCCAGAAGCCTCATCCACATCATTTTAAGATTGCATTTTTTTATTTCAAGTTGGTAACTAATGTGTAAGCAACATTCCATCCAGATGATATAAAATATTTTATAAATATTAGACAGGCTACCAGGTAAGACAAGTTATTTATCAGATCGCATGTTTTAAAAAACTTACCTTATCCAAGCATGAGGTATTATAAGTCAATATTGAAAACCAGAAGATACAGCCTTCTTTTTTATCACTACATCAACATTGATCATTTTAGTGGGTTTTGCAACACAAATTGGTATTTAGCAAGTAATGTTATATTTGAAATTGAAATCGCAACATTTCCATCCACTATTGCATTTTCCAGAACATGTTATATTGTCATCATCAATTAACCATCATCATCATGGAGTTATACAACTGTAGGCTGCAACTGACCTTCCTTAATGAACTGCACTTCTTCTTGAATCACAGCAACAGTATCTTTTATAAATTGAAAGCAGACTGGTCGGCAGTAAAAAGTTGACGATGGCTTGTCATTCAACCAAATCACATGTTTCACATTACCACAATATTTTGTAGGTGTGAGTGGGACAAAACAAGTTAGAAATAGACTTTCTTCAGAAGCTTGATGTTGTAGAAGATCAGATGATGTAGTCTGCTTATAAATTGATTTATCAGTGGAACCATTGACTCCATTTTTATATTGCAAATTCAGTCTTTGAAAAGGCATTGATTTCAATACTTTAATTTGAAAAACAGATTTGCGCTGTTTAGTATGATCAACAAGACCTTGTAAATTTACTTCAGCTTTGTAGTCAGATATAGTAGTTAATTCTTTTGGAGGCATGCACTCCTCTTTGGCAATAAGCACAGAATTATAGTTATGTATATATATACAGAGGTTAAAGATTACTCTTTATATTTAATGCTTCATTTTGTAAATGTTGGTAGCCATCTTTAGTTTGACGACAGTTCAGTAAAATTGAAAGATCCTTTTTTTAATTTTGAGA